CTAAGCGTAAAAAATCATTTTCTTATTTAAATAATATTTTAAAATTTTAAATTAATCTAAAAATCATTTAATAATTAAAGAAAAATAAGCGTAAAAATGTTAAGCCCCAAAAAAAATACAAAAAGCAAAAAATAGTAAAAATAATAAAAAGGGTGAAAAAACGCAAGGCATGGCGTTTTGCGCCCGCCACCTAGGCCCGCCTAGACATTGCTTTTTTAAAACACTAACTTTGAGTACATATGCAACATTTTAGCAATCAATTGACGCCAATAAAAATACTCAATTTTTCTTTGTTGCATATTTCAATGATTTTCGAGAATGTGATAAAGAAATCCTCAACGCATGAATAATTGCTCTTTTAAGTTAATTTCGATGGAAATTCAACTCTTCATATTGCAGTAAAAAATGGTAAAATTGTTGTCTGATCAACAATGATAACATCGGCTAAACATTCAAATTAGAATGTTGAATCTGGTGGTGGAACAAAAAAAAAAACAAAAAAAAAAAAAAAACAAAAAAAAAGAAAACAAAAGGAGGGGAGGGGGAGAGAGAGGTGTTTCGTACAAAGACCTCAAAGATATCTCATGTGTCAGAGCGAATAAGGTACTACTGTTTGTGGTGAACAGAACGATTCCCAGTTTGATGCAGGGAATGAGTTAAAAAGTTTTTAACTTTTTACATGCTACTTATTTCTTTACTTTGAGGAAAAATAAGTCGCTTATTTTGAAAAGCAACTTACTTTCAAAATACAGGATAGCTTCTTAAAATTAGCCAAACATTCTCATATGGTACAGGTACACTTCTTATGCTATTAAACTGAGCATTATAGCAATTTGGGAATATCCGGAATGAAACAAACGAAGCGGGAATTGATTAATTAGTCATATTGTCGACAAGGAACTTGATATTTTCCTTCAATACATTCCATTTCTTCCTCGAAATATTCATCTATTGGCAATATGGTTTCCATAACATAAGCAAGTCAAGCATACAAGAATTATGCATAGCAACTGTTCCAAAAGTTCAGTATACTAAGTATCTTAATATTTTATGAGATTCTACATGGTGGGTTTATCTAGCAATTAATAATTCTACCTCTTCTTACCCTGAAAGGCAGGGTCAACTTATGACTACCGTAACCTCTTCCGTCCCTCAGGACGGACAAAGGGTAGTACAGGAATATTCACACTGACATGGGAGCAAAAACGGAAATCATATCATCTTGTGTTGACCTAGGATAATAAGCTCACCCAAGCTCTCTTATTGAATTGCTCATTCAATGAGCATTATCAATATTGTGCCTGAGGAGGAATCGAACCTCCACGCTCTTTAGGACGAGATTTTGAGTCTCACTTGTTTAAACCACATTACATCCTTATCTTTTAATCTATCAAAACACCTCATATCATTAAATAAAAATAGAAAGCTGCTGGAGCAAGGAACTGGCTCATTTTGCAAGCTAAATAAAGAGCATTCTCACAATGTTAATATAGATAAAAATTCGTAAGGCAATTCGAAACATACCACCAGTGTGCAGCACGAGGGATCCTGCTTTTAACAGCGGAGCTGCTGCACTCTTCTGAACATTCTGAAGAGATGATTCAACCAATTCAGGAATATGTTCCACCCCAACTGCATGACCTTCTGGTCCAACCATGATAGCAAAGCATGCTGTCAAATACCCCGTTCCTACAAAAAGAGAATCTCGTATAATCCAGAAATCTGAAAAAGTGTGGTGAAGTTCGAAAGATCTGAAGAAAATAGCATTTCACAGAGAAATTTTCTTTGCATTGCTGGAAATATGCAGTCCACAATATTATGTAACTAAAGCTGCTAACAACCTCAGCGGCACCAAGAAGGTAAGTACAAACTTCATTGCAGTTTCCAATTGCAAATTACTAGATTGATACACCAATGAAATTGAACTTGAAATGTAATATAGTATAACATCTTCAAATGTTAACACTTCTAGAAGAGAGTAACATTTTACTGTATAAATGAAGTCACTGAAAACAAGCTTCCGATTGCAATAACTTGGACAAAATATACCTGAACCAACATCCAAAGAATGCATGCCAGGCTTCAAATGGTTTTCCAACAATTCGAGGCATGTGGCGTGCATATGAGGTGCAGAAATAGTGGCATTATAGCCTATCTGCATGGGACTGTCCATATATGGTGAGGCATCCTCAGGCACAAACAAAGCCCTGTCAATAGTTTCCATTACTTCAGCTACCTTTTTCGATCTAATCACTCCAGAACTCTGCAAATGTTCTACCATTTTTTTGTTCTTATTGATTCTACTTCCAGTCCACAATCGCTGTTGAGAAACATAAACAATATTGAAGTAAGAGGTAACATCAAGGTCCATCAGAAAGTAAAGAGATCAAATGGCAAAATCAAATTGATAAATTTCAAGAGAGTAACTTTCCCGAGAAAATGCAAGAGTGTTCTAGTTCAAGTCAATAAGATATCAAACACGTTCCTTCTGATAATCATTTCATCCATTCTTCTTCAAGAAATCAAGACTATTCCCAAGTACAAAACAACATAGGTCCCTAATTAAACCAATAGCGTATTTGCACTCCTATACCAAAATTACATGCTCATACAGTTCCCAAACCAAACACAATCACTTCAAGCCAGGATCTCGCCACAAAATCAGACACGTTTTCAAAATTTACCACGATATACACAAGAATCAATAGTTTTTTAAGGCAGCTCCACACTGAACTAGGACCGTCCCAAATCTCTTATATCCCATTTAAATTTCAGTTAAAAATTCATATATAAACCTTCTATTTCTCCTTAATTTCACTTAAAACACAACGAAACTTAAAATAAATCGAATATATTCGAAGGGTTGAAAATTAAAACGTTAGACATACAAACGCACAAGCCGTGTACAATAGAGACTGGGGGTTACCTCCATGCGAGAGAAGAGAGAATTCCCCGTGACGAAGTTAGTATTCGGGAGGGGAAAACGAAGTAAAGGAGCCGTCACGTAGAGGGCAGAGATAGAAGGCGTGAGATGGTGATGGGAATGTAGATACGATAATGATAAAGGTCGCGGCAACTATACGCTATTACCGAGAGCGGAATGTGTATACGTGGAAGCATTTTTTCCTTCATCAGCTGTCTCGCTTTTCTTTAGTCTCTCGCTCTTTCGGTGCACGTGTACCTCACGTGGCTAAAGAGTTTCTTAGGCCTTCTATTTCTTTCTTGGTCCATTTCTCGAACAGCCCGACTAACTTTTTTCTTGACCAAAGAGACTTTATTAGCCATCGCCGGTATCAAAATTTGTATCATTTTGCATCAAATTTTGCACAAAATTAAAATTTTTCTCCAATCATTATTACACCATAACTTACATCAAATGACCATTGCTTTATTATTTTATTCATTCTTTCGATTTTTGTCAACGTATTTATTTATTTTACAACTATGCCCTTATTTGGTTATCATTTTTTTATCATTAAAATGAAAAATATGACCGTTATCCATCACATGAAGCCATCAAACTTGAATTTCTATCTCTTATGTGGGATCCATAACAACTATATTTTTCATTCTCATTATTTCAAAAATGAGAAACAAACGGGGGCTATATAAATTACTAAATCATAACTTCATTAAATTAACAAATATATTGATTACTAAATTATTCACGTGTTTTATATAATATATTAAATTGACAAAAATAATTGAATATATTATTAATTTATGATAAACAATTACGTTAAATTTACAAAAATAATAAATTTTAATAATATAAACTTTACGTTAAATTAAACTTTAAACGTAAACTTTACGAATTAAACTTTACATTAAATTAACAATTACGTTAATTATTGATTATATTATTAAAAATAATAAAGTTTAATAATATAATTAATAGTGTAATTAATTATTATTATTATTATTAGCATCATCTTCATTATTATTATTATTATTATAGAACGAAAATAACAAAAATGCCCTTAACCATTATCTTTGAAAAATGAAAAATAAGGACAAAACGGACATTGCACCATTTGGTGCAAAAAATAGTGTAATGAATAGTGTTACGCCAAATACGGTGCAACACCATTTTGCACCAAAATGGTGCAAAGTTTGGTGTTGCATTGGAACAACTTTGCACCAAAAAAATTATGCAATGATGTTATCATTGAAGTTACCCTTATTACTAAAATTTACTTTTTAAAAAGTAACTTCTAAAAGTATCTATAAGCAACTCTTTAGACAAAAAAATATTTTCTAAATTTATAGATACTATATATCATACATAAGGTGATCTTTATAAATAAAGAATCTGTTGAAAATACTCTGAATACAGTCAAACAATATACAAGGAAGATCACGATTCATGACATTATTTTTGGTATGGTCAAATTCTTTAGTACATTTGTTATTAAATTCGTTTTGTATTTTCTATGAAGGGGAAAAACCTCAAAATATGCATTTTACATGTGAGTAGCTACACAACATGTTTGAATTATCTTATATATAAGTAATAGATGTATAACTTATTTTTGATGTAGACTTATCTTTATTAAAATAAGTCAACATAATTTACCATTTGGGGATTATATTTATAGTTAAATATTATCATTTTGATAATTCGATATTTCTCTTTTGACTTCTCTATTATTTCTTGTCGAGAGACAAGGATGTTATAGTTCTAACTTTGCGCTCTTAACTTAAAAAAGGGTTCCTTGAAAGTGTACATTTTTAATTTTAAGCTAAAATGCATATATGAATTACCAAAAATAGTATATGTCGGTTTCTCGAGGATGAGGATTGAGAAAGAACACGAACAAGACCTTACAGTACCTGAAATAAAGGTAACGAGATGTGTTATCGTCGTCTCTCCGATACTTAAGTCAGAGAGAAAATTTATACGAAAAGATATATGCTCAAATTATATGTAAAGACGTACTTAAATAATGAACCAAACCTTTGTATTCATAGATGTAGGTAGTGCACTCCTAGTAGGGTAAAGTAGTGTACTCCCGATAGGACTAAATCATTTGGATATCCTTATCTCAAAGAGTCCTACCTGGGAGGGGTATTTTATTCGTACTACAATTACAAAACCACTCATAATTTAGGTAATATAGTTGGGATAGAGTCATCCTAGATGTATGAATCTTGGATTGAGGTGTTTGAATCAGATTATAGTCCTTGATGGGTAGGATTTCTTTTGGACGTAAGCAGGAAAGTGTTTGAAACGAAGTGAAGGAAAAATACTCATGCATTTGCATGCCTTGAGCGTCAAGAGGACTTATCTTGAGGACCTTACCAATCAAATCTCATGGAGGCGTGGTATTATCCTCGGGGATTTCATTCCGAGGATACCCTTGGCTCGAGGACTCTATGACCAACATGTGATGAGTAGGCACATGTGTGTCCTCAGGAAGAACACCTCGAGAATATGCAAAGTGACTACATCAATGAACATTAAATGTTGATAAAAGGATCACAATTGACGTTTGATTTTGATGTAGCCTAAATAAACGCGTGACATTATTACTATTTTATTAGACATTTTAATATATTAGATTAGACCATTAGTTGCTGCCATATTTGTAACGGAGGTTTTTCACAAACATTTTATTTGAGGAACACAATAATTGACCGTCTTAATGACTATTACGTTGGAAAAAAAATTGAGTTATGGGCCGACTTTGGCACAAGTTTTGAGTGGGACCCGGTTGTTCAATTTGAAAGATGAAAGTTGACTTGTGTTCTCCTCCGTGAGTACATCGAAATCATATACTTACTTGCCAAAGATGATGCTCGGATGAATGAGAAATTGAGGCTCAAAATGTGCCACTCAAAAAAAGGAGTTTATGTGGGAAAAATGAATTTGTCCCACATAGGAAAAAGATGAGAAACTCCAAAGGTCATTACCATTAATGGTAGCCTAGCCTATAAATAGTGGCTCATTTTCCTCATTTCAATACACCAAAGCAAAAGCTTTCAAGTTTAGAATGCATAAGAAATTCATTTGCATAGAGTTCTGTCTTTTCTGCATTTCTGTCTTGGTGGTGGTGTAGTTCAGGTACTAGTTCAGTTCGCCGGAGTGGTTTCTGCGATGCTTGGAAGCTACTGATTTTACCGTTGTATCCTTGAAAACGGACGCTCGTTTTAAACCTCAAGCACGGACGGTGAGGGGGCGAATCTGTTTTAAGGAAACTATGTGTAACACAGGCCTCAGTTTGAAATTTCATTTCCTGCAATTTCAGTTATTCGTTCTGTTATTTAATGCAGTAAATTCAATAGTTGATTTGTTGTTCATTTTGTTATTATCCAATTAGTTGTACAACTGTAACTTGCTGTTATATATCATCTTACCGGACAAAAGGCATATACGGTATTGAAATCGAGAATACCGGATACCTCATTTTTCATAAACTTACCAAACTGGTGAAACTTGGGATTTTCCCTACAAGTTTAAAACAGATTTTCAGAAAGGAAAAATTGATTTCCTATATTGATTATTTTTGAACTGATTAGTTTCTTATATTTGTTATATTGTGGAAATTAATTTGTTGTTTGGTTCTTTCAGAAGACGAAATGACAACCGGTTCCACCAACATGGATTCCAACATGGATGTGTCCTAAGCTGTAGGTACCCAAACTCAGGCTGTGGGTTCTACTATGGGTGCAGCTATGGTTGCAGGGCCTAACTCTGTTATGGCTCAGAATGTGGCTCAAGTGCCAAGTCGTGTTGTGAGCCAACATGTGGCCAATGTTCCAGTTAATGTACCGGTTAACCATGGGGAAAAGTCGGAGAAATTCAACGGCTTGAATTTCAAGAGGTGGTAGCAGAAAATGCTGTTCTATCTGACCACCTTGAATCTTGCGAGATTCTTGACTGAAAGTGCTCCAAAACTCCAAGAGGGTGAGGTGGATGTTCAAGCAATCAGTGTTGTTGATGCTTGGAACCACTCGGACTTCTTATGTCGGAATTACGTCATGAACAGTTTGGCAGATTCGCTATACAACGTGTATAGCACCATGAAAATTGCTAAGGAGTTGTGAGAGTCTTTGGACCGAAAATATAAGACTGAGGATGCTGGGGCTAAGAAATTTATCATCGGCCGATTCTTGGACTATAAGATGGTAGACTCCAAAACTGTAATCAGTCAAGTGCAAGAACTCTAAGTGATTCTTCATGAAATTTATGCCAAAGGGATGATTCTGAGTAAAACTTTCCAAGTGGCTGCAATCATTGAAAAATTGCCTCCCACGTGGAAAGATTTCAAGAATTATCTAAAACACAAGCGAAAGGAAATGAACGTTGAAGATATGATTGTTAGACTTCGAATTGAAGAAGACAACAAGAGTTCCGAAAAGAAGTAGTTCAATCCTGGTGCGGCTAAGGCCAATATTGTTGAACATGGTCAAGGTAGTAAGAACTACAAAACCAAAGTTGGGCCATCCGGTGGAAAAGGGATCAAGCTGGGACCAAAAGGGGGCATTCCTAAAAAGAAATTTCAAGGAAAGTGCTTCAACTGTGACAAAGTAGGCCACAAATCTTCGGAGTGCAGATTGCCAAAGAAGAAGAAAGAAACAAATGTGGTTGACTACATAGCACATGATGTGTAGGAGATAAGTCTCGCAGCAGCCATTTCTGAAGTGAACATGGTGGGTTCTAACCCAAAAGAACGGTGGATTGACACCGGAGCCACGAGACATGTGTACTCTGATAAAGAGTTATTTACTGCTTTTGAAGCAGTTGAGAATGGAGAGAAGTTGTTCAAGGAAAATTCAGCAACTTCTGAAATCAAGGGCCAAGGAAAAGTGGTTCTGAAGATGACTTCGGGAAAAGAGCTGACTCTCAACAACGTGCTGTATGTGTCGGAAATCCGCAAGAACCTTGTGTCCAGGTCGCTTTTGAATAAGCATGATTTTCGCATTGTATTTGAGTCAGACAAGGTCATCTTGTCGAAAAGTGGAACGTTTGTCGGAAAAGGTTATGTTTCCGATGGAATGTTTAAACTCAATATAATGGTTGTTAAACCAAAAATGAATAATAAAGTGAATGCTTCTGTTTACTTGTTTGAGTCTTTCAATGTGTGGCAAGGTAAACTAGGACACGTTAACTATGATATTTTACGTAG